TGCGGGAATTCGCCAATGGAGCACGAGGAAAGCAAACACTGTAATCGAGCTCACAAGACGCTCGTAAGTGCGATTATTTGCAGTGGATGGGTTGGATAAAAGAACTCACTGGAGCAGGGAAGGAGAACAAAACAGCGCCGGGAGGTGACCGAACAGGTTTGAGAGGGGGAAAACTCCCGGGCGGTGATGCACGGGCCAGAAATGCATTCCCCAAAGCCGGGCAGCGAGTTCAGGTGACGGGATTTGCCTCCCGCACAGCGCTCAGGAGGAGCCGTAGAGGGAAATCCGGAGCGCCCCGCTCGTTCCCTCCTTTCCCAGCGTTCCAAAAAGGAAAAGAACACCAACTCCCAGGCGCTTTCCCAGCTAATCCAAGCGGATGGCAGGTCCCAGGGAGGAGGACGAGCATGGCACACCTGGAATCCTCGTCCCCTTCCCTCGCTCCCTCCTTCCCGAGCAGAACAATCAGCCTTTGTCCCACCGGGACAGAGCCGCAGCTCCGCGGCTCAGAGTTCGGCTGAGCTGCTCCATGGAGCTGCTCCTTCCATCCTGCCCCTCCTTCCATCCTGCTCCCTCCTTCCATCCTGCTCCCTCCTTCCTCCTCCTTCCATCCTCCTCCTCCTTCCATCCTGCTCCTCCTTCCATCCTCCTTCCTCCTCCTTCCATCCTGCTGCTCCTTCCATCCTCCTCCTTCCATCCTGCTGCTTCTTCCATCCTGCCCCTCCTTCCATCCTGCTCCTTCCATCCTGCTCCTTCCATCCTCCTGCTCCTTCCATCCTGCTCCTCCTTCCATCCTCCTTCCTCCTCCTTCCATCCTCCCCCTCCTTCCATCCTGCTCCTTCCACCCTGCTCTTTCCATCCTCCCCCTCCTTCCATCCTCCTCCTTCCATCCTCCTGCTCCTTCCATCCTGCTCCTCACTCCCTCCTGCCCCCACCCAGGGAGCTCAGCAGCATTTGGGGCCTCCAGAAAACCCAAATAACAAATATTGTGGATGAAGCCCTGGCATGTGCTGGGTTTGGCCTCACTGGTTCTACCCAGAGCTTCCTGCAGGCTCTGGAGCTGCTCTGCTGTGGGACCAACCCCTGGCACACCCCTGGGCTGGGGATTCTCCTGAGGGTCTTCCAGCAAAATCAGAGGGATAAATGGATCATTTCTGGGAATCTATCCCAGCTCCCTGTGGCCCTGCAGACACCTGCCAGGCACAAAGCCCATCAGACTTGTAAATCCACGGGCTGGTCCCAAAAACATTGGGATCAGCTGATCCCAAAGCAAAACAGAGGGAAGGATCCCTCCCTCTGGAGATCCCTCATGCAAGGCTCCACCAGCTCCCAAACCCATCCTCGTGCCGGAGGGATCAGGTGTTCCCGTTCCTCCTTGGCAAGATTTAACTTCCCATCTCTCCCACCCCATTCCTGCACTCCCTGGAGCCAGCACATTTTGGAAATGGATTTTGCATGGAATTTCTGAACCCTTATCCAAAGCCAGGAGGATCCCCAAGGGAGGGAATTCCCCCCAAGCATCTCATTCCAGGCCCACAGCAAAATTCCAAAGCAGCCATCTCCCCTTTCCCTGCAGAAAAGCCAAATTTATTCCCTGCCTGCAGCTCCTGAGATTCCAAGGAAATGAATCATGCCCTGGGAGCTGTGCTGGGCACTCCAACATCTCTCCTAAAAAGTAAAGGAGCTTTATTTATGGAAGGCAGGACTCTCCTGGCCCTGACCAGGACCCATCACCCTGGTTCCAAGGCACTGTAGCACCAAGAAGGAGGGAAAGCCATCCCTGCTCCAAGGGATAGCCACTCTCAAGCCACCACAGCCACATTCATGACAAGGATGCACCAAAGGAGGTGCAGGACATGGCACAGGGGCAGGATTGAAACAGCTCCTGAAAGCTGGAGCATTCCTAAAAATGCTGGATCCAGCTCCTCCTGTGATCCAAGAGCAAAATCCCTGCCAAGATAAGTCAGAGGAACAGCACAGCACCTGCACCCTGTTCCACAGCTCTTCCACGCTGCTGGAAGGGTCTGGCAGTGCCATTCCCAGCACTGAGGAGGTGAAGTGCCAGGAAAAGCTCTGGGAACAGCACTTTCCTCATCCCATCTCATGTGTCCAAGCACCCCCCAGATGCTGGAGATGTTTTGTTCCTCCTAAGCCCCCCCTAGCCCAGAGAGAGCCAAGGACAGGGTGGGGAAGTGCCTGTGGGGCAGGAACTGGGATCAGGAGACACAAAGGGAGCCCTTTGCTGCTGTTCCCCAGCCTGCAGCCAAGGAAAATCCCTTTCCACACTCATCAGCATCTTCCTTGTTTCCCACCACAGCCTCAGCCCCACCGGGAGCTCACCAGCCCCACCACAACTGCCCTGGGGCCTGGCACAGGCAGGAAGGGGTTAAACCAAGGGACAGGGTCGGGGGTTTGTCCTTCTGTCTCTTCCCAGCAGCTCCTGCCTCTCTCAACAGCCTCCAACACCAGAATTCCCAGCTGGAGTCAGGGACACAGGGATTGCCTTCCCAAACCCTCGAGGACAGAGGGTGGCAGAGCCGCCTCCCCACAGCCACAGGGGAGCCGGGAGGAGCCAATTCCTGCCCTGCCCTCCAGGCCCGGGTGATCCCGGGATGCTTCTCCAGCCCCAGGGGCCCAGGAATGCTGTGGCAGCCAGGTGGGAGCAAGAATAAATCCCTCAGGCCCCTCACTCATCCAGGGAACCCGACAGCCACACAAAGGGATCAGCTCCTCCTCTCCTGAAATGTTCCCTGGACATTACTTTTGCTTTACTGCTACTACTATTATTATTATTAACTGCATTACTTTTGATTATTATTATTTACTATTATTATTATTCCCTCCAGCATCAGCCACTGGAGATTTAAAGAGGAAAATGCTTTTTCTGGCTGATCTGACTCAAATCAGGAATGAAAAGTCCTTTCCTCTCACAAGCCCTTTTCCCTCCTCTTTTCTCTGTTTTTTTTGGTTGGTTTTTTTTTTTTTTTTTTTTTTTGGTTTTTCTTGGGTTTTTTTGTTTGTTTCTTTCTTTGGGTTTTGTTTTTTTGTTGTTGTTGTTGTTGTTGTTGTTGTTGTTGTTTGGTTGGTTGGGGTTTTTTTGTTGGAAAAGCCAAGGAAAGGGAAAATTTGATTGGAAATTCCACAAAGGATCTGTCTCCACCTGAGCCAAATCCAATAAAATTTTTGACAGCAAAGAGCTCCCACCTGAAAAGCAATTTGAAGGGGATATATGGCAGTGAAATCACAGGGATGATTTGCTCCTGCCTCTTCCCAAGCTCAGGCACCCAGAGCACGGGAACTGCCCCGAGGTGGAGCCTGACAGGTCACAGCCTTGGGCACCTGCCTTGTCAAGCTGATAAAAACCCTCTGGAGCAAAGGCTCCCCAGCCCTGCAGCTCCTCCAGCCTGGGCTCCCACAGCCCCTGGAACCTGCTGGGAAAAAGGGACCAGGCCATGGAAACTCCTGCCCAGGGGCTGTGGGCTCCAGCCCGGGGCTCTTGGGGTGTCCCAGCACAGCCCTGCTCCCGGCGTGGGTTTGGGGAGCCATGGGATCCATGGGACCTGCTCAGCTCCACAGCTGCTGTGCCAGGATCCCACTGCCCAGGAGGGACACAGGAGGGTCAGTGGCAAAGGGTGACACCTCCAAGGCCACAGCTCAGCTGCCACCGCCCCAGAGGAAAGTGGGACCAAACTGGGAAGAGAAACTACCTTTCCCCTGGAAGGGCAGCAGGGATGGGGTGGGGTGAAGGTGTCCCCAACCATGGGTGTCCCCATGAGGGGGACAGGAGGTGGCCAGCCATGGCCACTGCCTCATCCCACCCAGACAGAATAAGGCAAGAAGCCAAGCTCACCTTGCCCAGCCCTTTTTGAGGGGGTTTGGAGGGAGCTGACTGCTTTTCCCCCTGGGACAGGCCCTGGGGACAATCCCAGCTTTCCAAGAGCCACCACCCAGCTCTGCTCCAGGTGATCCCCAAACCCCACAGGGGAGGGAGGAATGGCTCCCTGTTTGACCCCACAGCCACGAGCACCACTGACAGCCCCTGTGGATCCCGGAGCTCCAGGAAATCCAGGGATGGAGCCACGGCCTTCACCTCCCTCTGCGGGACACAGCCCCAAAATGGCCCTGGGCACTCCGGTGACGTGGGGAACAGAGCAGGGGCACTGGGGATGTGGGCCTGAGCCTGGCTGGTGCCACCCAGGCTGGGGTGGCCTCCCGGGGGTCTCTGGAGGAGCAGAGGCCGGGTGGGGGTTCCTGTGTGGCCCTGGAGCCAGGCCTGGAGCGCTCCCGCCCCGCTCAAAATGGCGCTGGGGCTGTGGGGTTGGGGTTAATCATTACCCGGGCACCCCGCGCCCCACAGAGCGGGAAAAGGGGAAACCTCGGCTCCAGGGTGGGGCCCGGCCTGCCTCACCCTCCCTGCAGCAGGAAGAGCGGCCGGAGGCTCTGGGGGTGGCACACGGAGCCTGGTCCCCCACATGGGGTGGGCAGCAGGGCCCAGGAGAGGGGTGGGCCTGCGGGAACATCCCAAAGCCTTATCCCGGCCTTTATCTGGGGGGAATGCTGCCAGGGAATCTCGAGGAGCATTCCTTCCCCACGGCGGTGGTGGAAAAGTACAGAAAATCAAATAAAATGGAAAATAAGGTCCCGTGTCCCATCTGGCACGCACAGGCACAGCAATCCCGATCCCAAAACCCTTCCCGGTGGGAGAGACCCTGGACACCCCTGGCCTGCCAAGCCCAGGGGACAGGGACTGAACCCTGGAGCGGGAGCAAAGCCCACACGGACTTTGCCGAGGAGTTTTGAAGGCAGACGGAAGGCAGAAAACCCAAACCAAAATTCCCGAACAAAACCCAACACGCCCAGGAGAAAAGCCAGCGCAGGGGGAAGCGGGAGCCCACAGAGCCACGGAGGTGTCGCAGCCACGACGGGAGAAACAAAGCAGAATTCAGCCCAAACCCGGAGGCACCTGAGCGGGCGGGAGCGGCCCCTTCCCTCCCAGCGCTTACCTGCGCCAGCTCGGGAGGGGTCTCCAGGGGCCGCGAGGGGCCTTTGATGTCCTCGAAGACCGGGGTGTCCTCGCTGGGCTCCCCGGACATGCTGACGGGTTTGAGCGGTGCCAACACCGCCGCGTCCACCAGCCCGCTGCTCATCCCCCCGCGCCCCGCACGGGACAGGGCCCGGGAAACGGGGAAAAGGGGGAAAAAAGGGGGAGAAACAAGGGAGGGGAAGGGAAAAAAACCCCTGAGGCGAGGCGGAGCGAGCTGCGCGGGTGGGAGGCCGGGAAGGCTGTACCTGGCCGCGGGAAGGCTCTACCTGGCCGCGGGAGGAGGAAGCGGCCCCGGGAGCGGGCGGTGATGCGGAGCCAATCAGGCTCCCGGCGCCGGCCCCGCCGGGACAGCGCTCATAAAAGGGCGAGAGGAGCCCCGGCAGCGGGCCCGGGCAGCTGCAGCACCCCAAACACAGCCCGCGAGCTCTGCCGCCAGCAGAGAGCTCAGGAAGATCCCACAGCCCGGGATTCAATCCCAATGCCAACCCTGAGCAGGCAGCCAGGAGCTCGGTCACCAGCCATGACCCCACAACGTGCTTGGGAAGCTCCAGCACCCCAGGACTCAAATCTCAACCCCAAGCTCTGTCACCAGCCATGCTCTGGCAGGGAGCTCAGGAAGATCCCACACCCCAGGATTCAATCCCAACCCCAACCCCAAGCAGGCAGCCAGGAGCTCGGTCACCAGCTGTGACCACAACGTGCTTGGGAAGCTCCAGCACTCCAGGACTCAAATCTCAAGCTCTGTGACCAGCCGTGCTCCCACACGGAGCTCAGGACAATCCCACACCCCGGGATTCAATCCCAACCCCAAGCGGGTGGCCAGGAGCTCTGTCACCAGCCATGCTCCCACACAGAGCTCAGGACGATCCCACACCCCAGGATTTGATCCCCAATCCCAGCCCCAAGCCCTGCTCCCACAGAAAGCCCAGGAAGTTCCAGCAGTCCAGGATTTGATCCCCAATCCCAAACCTGTCGCAGTAAACATGCCAAATAAAAAACACACTACAACACAAACCCAAGCTGCATCACCAGCCATGCTCCAACAGAGTGCTCAGGAAACCCCAGGATTTAACCCCAATCCCAACCCCAAGCGGGTGGCCAGGAGCTCTGTCACCAGCCATGCTCCACATGGAGCTCAGGACGATCCCACACCCCAGGATTCAATCCCCAGTCCCAACCCCAAACTCTGGCACCAGCCCTGCTCCCACACAGAGCCCAGGAAATTCCAGCACTCTGGGATTCAATCCCAATCCCAATCCCTGAGTCCTTCCAGGAGCCTCATCAGCCACAGGGCCTGGCCAGCTCCAGCACCACCAGGATGGAGGGGTCAGTCCCAACCCTGAGGCCTGGAACATCCCCCAGCTGGGCCACTGTCCCCAGACTGACCCCCCTGTACTGAAACAAGGGGGATATTCCAGCTTTTTACACACATGGGCGCTTTTCAATAAGAAAATGCCATTTTTGCATGAACGGGTTAATTTTGTATCAAAACTACTTTTGAGAGGAAATTCCTGTTTGCTCACACTTCTGATTCCCGGGGAGAAAAAGTGAAGAATAAAAAATAAAAAGGAAGGATCAAAAATAAAAGGGACAAAGCCTGAAGGAAAAGAAAAGCAACAGTTGGAAAACACAGACAGGTAGGAGGGCACAGGGTTCTATGGAGACACCAGGCAACTGTGTTTGGGTTTCACTTCTGGAAAGGAAGGAGTGTAAAGATCCAGAGATAAAGGGAATAAAAATTACCTTTCTGGCAAAGAACTGGGGGAAAAAAAAAGCAAAAAACAAAAAAAAGCCATTCTGCTCCAGATAATCCAGCCCCGAGTGTCCCCAACCCCTCCCCAGAGAAGAGCCTGCATCCTCCCCCTCTCTGTGTTCATCCATCCCAAAACAGCCCCAGATTCCCCACTTCCCTGTGTCCCAGGCAGGATCCCACACAGGCAGGGATGCTGCTGTCACCACCTTGGGGACATCCCAGCAGCTCCAGGGGAGCCCAGGAGCAGGGGAAGGAAGTGTGGGGACCGAGGCTGCCCTACCCCCCTGGGCAAAGGGAGAGCAGCTGCAGTGCTGCCAGGGCAGGGCAGTGCCTGTTCATGGCATTCCTGCCACTCCAGGGCTTTCACATGGGACCTGTGACCACTCAGAGCAGGAGCCACAGCAGAGGTTTGGTGTCACAGCTGCCACCCCACTCCAGGGACCAAAACCATCAGCTGGGGGGCTGAGCATCCTGGAGAGCAGAGCTTGTGAGCCCTTGGGAGAGCAAACACAGGAACAGCTCCGGCCTTGCAGGGTTTTGTTTTCCAGGGAAGCTGTGCTCCTGCTGGCACCCTCACCAGGGCTCCCAGGGGATGCCAGGGACAGGGGGATGTGTCACCAGCCCTGCAGGACCACACGGGGACAGGAGGAAGTTTGTAGTGAGGGTGGTGAGGGTGCCCAGAGCAGCTGGGGCTTCCCCTGGATCCCTGGCAGTGCCCAAGGCCTGGCTGGACATTGAGGTTTGGAGCAGGAAGATTATGAGGGATGTTAAAATTAGGGCTCATTTGTGTCCTTTTTCATCTAAGGGTATTATTAGTTGTTTTGTGACTAGGTTGATAAATCATAGCTGGAAGGTTGAGAATCGGTAATTCATCGATTGTCTAGGGAGGGTAGTAAGAGAGCTGGGAATGTTATTGAGATAAGAATTAGTGGGATTCCCAGGAAGGATGGGCTTGAAAATTGGTCGAAGAAGCTTAAGTGGGATGGTGGACGGTGTGCCTGCCATGGCAGGGGTGGGATGGGATGAGCTTTAAGGTCCTGTCAGCCTAAACCATTCCATGATTCCATTATAAAACCAAAAGTGCTCCCTTTCTCTCCATCCCACGCGTAGCCGGGTGAATCCCAGGAGCAGGGCTCACTGCAGGCTGCTCCTGCCCAGCAGGGAGCAATCCACGATTTCCAAAGGTGGAGGGAGCTGCCCCTCCTGGCAGGGATGGGCCAAAGGCAGGCAGTGCCCTTATCTGCCCCGGGAGAGCGGCCTTGGGTCCCTCTCTGCCCCCGGCCCTTTGCCCGGGGGCGCCGCCGGTCCCGTTGTGTCCCCACGTGCCACCCGCGATGGCGCAGAGATAAGGGCGGCTCCCGTGACCCGGCCACCAACGCGCTCCCTCCCGACCTTCCTCGCGTTTCCCTCCCTCATCGCACACAGAATTCCCCTCTGAAAAGCCGACACCGAGAGGCTGGAGGGGCTTTGGGAAGGGAGATCCTGTGCAGGGAGGGATGGAGCTGAGAGGGGGTCCCAACCCAGGGGCTGAGGCTGCTGGGGAGAACTGGGGAGCCAGCCCCGGATCCCGGATCCCGGCACTCCGGGTCCATGGGAATGGTGAGGAAGGACAGCCAGGCCCTCCCTCTCACAAGGGAGCAGGAGGCAGGTGAAGCCCCGGATTACAGAGACTTGAGCTAAAAAGCAAGAAAGGCACTGAATTTTGAGGAAACCTGGATCAGGCTGGGAAGCAAACCTCGGCTCCCACTCTTCAAATGATCCCAGGCACAGGCAGAGGCAGCCCCAGCCTGTCCCCAGCATCCCCACAGCCACCCTGACACCTCAGCACTGGGCTGGCTCCCCAAGGGACACCTCAGAGCCCCACTCAGGTCCCACCCTCACACCTCAGCACTGGGCTGGCTCCCCAAGGGACCCCCGAGAGCCCCACTCAGGTCTCCTCCTCACACCTCAGCACTGGGCTGGCTCCCCAAGGGACCCCCCAGAGCCCCACTCAGGTCCCCCCCTCACACCTCAGCACTGGGCTGGCTCCCCAAGGGACCCCCGAGAGCCCCACTCAGGTCCCACCCTCACACCTCAGCACTGGGCTGGCTCCCCAAGGGACTCCCGAGAGCCCCACTCAGGTCCCACCCAGGACGGGGGGCTGGGGAAGGGGCCCGGCCCTGCCTGGGGGTCCCTGGCCCATTTTCCCTCCTGCAGCAGCTCTTCCCTCCCTGCTGTCCCCCGAACCCCCCGGGCTCCCCGGAGCACCCACCTGTCTCGGGGCCGTGGTGGACAAGCCCAGCCCGCTCTGGCTGTGCCTCCCTGGGCCGAGGCCGCCGCGGGCTCCCCGTGGCCAGGCCCCGCTCGCCTGTCCCCACGGCCGGCACACAAAGCTCTGCAGAGCTGCCCGAGCAGCCCCGCGCCTCCCCCGCTCCCCCACCGAAACCCAAAACCACCTATTTTTGTCTTTTCCTTTCTCCTCCTCGGGAGGTTTCCAGCCATCAAATGCTTCCCGGGAGCCCTTCAAAGGAAAAGCGGCCGCCCCGTCCCATCCACTTGCTAAACCAGTCTGAGCAGTGCCGGGCGGGCGGGCGGGCGGAGAGGCCCCGGCACCCCCGACAGGGACAGGGACAGGGACAAGGAGCCGTCCGCAGGGACCGCGGGGATCCCAGAGCCAGGGCACCGCCACCCCATTGTCCCCCGGGACACGGGGGGGACACCGGCCCGCAGGACCCCCCAGAGGGCTGTAGAACCCCTCCCAGTCACTGCTCCTTGGGGATTGCTAAATTCTTCTGCCAGCCACGGAAAAGTGCAGGCAGGGAATGGGGAAAGAGCCCAGAGGAGATGGGGAGACCCCAGTACCCCCAGCCAGGCAGTGGGGGAGCACTGGGAGGCAGTGAGATGGAGCAGGTGTTCCTGGGAGAGGAGGAGGAAGGTGAGGAAGCAGAAGGGCCTGAGGCTGAGCTGGGTTTCCAGGACAAAAATTCAGGGTGCAAAGAAGATGATATCGGCCTTTTCCCCCCCCAAACCCCAGCCTTGGACCTTTGCCAAGCCTGGAAAACAACCGGGAGGGTTTTCTGGGCTCCCACCAAGCACTGAAGAATTCCCAGGGCACGTGGAGCTGGATGTGCCCCTCATGCCACAGCAAAGCCACTGCCAGAGGGACTTTGCTGAGGCTCAGGGACCACCTGTGCCCAGAACGGGGGTGGCACAGCCCTCCCTGGGGGTCACCCTGCCCTTGGCACATGCTGCAGGACAGGCCCAGGTGACAGGGATGGGACAGGTCAAGGTGAGAGCCAGGGGGGAAAGTGCTTGTGGCTGTGGAAGGGCTCAGACAGCTCCAGGACAGCACAGGGAGCAGCTGGAGGCCCCATGCTGAGCTGAAATGGGCCCAGGATGTGGATGAGGATCTCAAGTGGGGCTGCTCAGAGCAATTAAAAGCCTCCAAGGCCTCACCCAGGAGAGGCAGCTGGGGGGAAGCCCAGCCTGGAGCCCCGGGATGGCGGGGCCAGCCCCTGGGGAGGGGGTGGCACCTGCTCCTGTGTGGCAGGACCTGCTCCAGCATCTGCTCCAGCCGCAGGGTGATGCCCATGCACTGCTGTCTCTCTGTCCCGGGCGTTTGGCACAGGACCCTGTGTGACCCCCACACCTCTGCAGCTCCTCCCAACACCTGGGGGCTGTCCCCCCCTTCCCCTGTGCCAGCAGTCCCTGCCAAGGCACTCGGAGCTGAGGAGCTGCAGCCCGAGCAGCGGAAGGCTTTGATGCCCCCATGCTTGCAGAACTCCGAGGTGCAGCCTTCCCACGGGCATTTTTGGGGCTCCTCAGCCGTGCCGGGGGAGCACCGGGGGATCGGGGAAGCTCCCACAGAACGGGAATCCCTCGGCTCCTCCCCGGCCGTGGCTCAGCGCGGGCCGCTGGCGCCACCGGGTGCCCGAGCGCTGCCACCGAGTCCCAGCAACGCGCCCGGCCGGGTTTGGGGTGCGAGCAGCGCCCACCGGGACCGCCCCAGCAGCCCCAGGCACTGCCGGGGTCCCAGCCCCACACACGGACTGCGGGGCCCTGGGGGTGCTCAGGAGGGGGGGCACCCCATGACCAACCTGGGCAATGAAGGACAGGAGGGTCCTCCGAGCATGGCTTTGCCTACCAGCACCCCAAAAAGGGCGAGCACAGAGCCTAAGTGCCCCAAAGTGCCACCCTGCACCTTAACACAGGGTGACAGCACCCCCAAAGAGCGTTCTGTCCCCCTAAAGAGCGCCCTGTCCCCCTAAAGGGCACCTGTCCCCAAAAGGGCACCTGTCCCCCTAAAGAGCACCTGTCCCCTTAAAGGGCACCTGTCCCCCTAAAGAGTGCCCTGTCCCCCAAAGGGCACCTGTCCCCCTAAAGGGCACCCTGTCCCCCTAAAGGGCGCCCTGTCCCCCAAAGAGCGCCCTGTCCCCCTAAAGGGCACCTGTCCCCCTAAAGAGCGCCCTGTCCCCCAAAGGGCACCTCCCGAGAGCCCCCCCGTGCCCCCAGAGGAAGCCCCCAGCCCTGACACACAGTGCCAGCACCCTGTGCCCTCAAGGGACGCCCAGGCTCTGGCTGGGGGCACCCCCAGTGACACCCCCGAGGTGCCCACAGGTGCGTGCAGGGGAGCCCGGGGGTCCCGGGGCTGACGAGGAGCTGGTTTGGGCAAGGGTCCCCGTGGCACCTCATGCCGGGAGCCCCACGCGTGTCCCGGGTGGGGTTGGGGTCCCACTTGTCCCCCGGTTGTCCCCTGGTCCTGCTGGCCGTGCTGTGGGTGGGGCCGGGCCAGGCCCTTTAAGAAGCTCCAGCCTCGACCGAGCCCAAGGTGGCGCCACGAGGCTCTTCAAAAGGTGACAGAATTCCCAAATCCTCTAAAAGTAGGATTTTTTCATTTCTGTAAGGAGTATTTTTATCATTTCTTTGTAATTTTCTTCCCTGGAATGGGACATTTTTCATGCAAAATCCCCAAAAAGCTTCAATTGAAGAATTTAGAGATTTTTTCCTTAGTATTCCTTAGAGTCCTAAATGTGGGTTTTCATCAGGATGAATGATGAAAACCCAGATTTTCAATCTTTCATCATTTCAGGATGATGAAGAGAACTGAGATGAGGCTGGAGCCCTGTGGCACCGCAGTAATGACAGGTGCCAGGCTGCTGTCACCCCACTCTGTCATCCTCGGTGCCCAAGCCTGGAGCCAGTTGCTGCCCATCCCATGTGTGCATCCAGCTGCAGCCCTGACATTTTGTCCAGAAGGACCCTGGGAGAGACAGGATCAAAAGCTTTGCTGGAGTCCAAAAAGATTCTATCTCCTGGCTGTCCTTGATCAGCCAGGTGGGATACCCTGTTGTGGAAGGAAATCAGGCTGGACAAGCAGGACTTTCCCCTCATGGAGCTGTGACCAATGACTGTTGTCTTCCCATACCTGCCAGAATCATCTTTTCCATGATTTTACTGGGCACTGAAGTGAGACTGACAGGCCTGTGGGTTCCAGGGTCCTCCTTCTTGCCCTTCTGGAAAATCAGGACAACAGTCCCAGTTTCCAGCCAGCTGGGACCTGCTGGAGTCCCAAGACCATTCAAAATCATCAAGAGAGGCTTTGTGATGGAATCAGCAACTCTTGGAGGATTCTCAGATGAATCCCACCAGGTCCCAAAGGGATTTGGAGGGATCCAGCTGGAGCAGGAGATCCTGCACAAGTTCATTCAAGATCATTCCTGCAGTCCTGCTCATCCAGTTCAGGGCACTGGGACTCCCTTGGTCCATCCTCTGGACACAGAATGCCTTGAACAGCTCTGCCTTGTCCCTGTCCCCTGTGGGAGGTGACATCCTCACCCCGACCAGGCCAATCCATGCTATTCCTCCAGTGTCTCTTGCCATTAATAGGTTTGAACAGGCATTCCCCACCTGGCAGCTTTCCTGCCCAGGCCTGCAGGGTGGGGTGGCTGTGCCAGGGGCAGCCCCAGCACTTGCCCAGTGCCCAGCCAGACTCTCCCCTCAGGCTGTGGGGTCAGGGACCACCTCAGGGCAGGGACAAGCTCTGTGCATGGCACACCCTGGCTGGTGGGTGGGAAGCTGAGGAAATGCACTTTCCCAAGCAGCTGTGAGTTGTTTTCAGGGGCCACAGGTCCCTGAAGTGCCCCCCCAGCCTTTCCTCACACCAGTTCCCCCATGCCCACACAGCCAGAGCAAAAGCACCAGCTCAGAGGGAGTCTGGGAACTCCCCACAGGGACTGCCCTGAGCATGGGAGGTGTCATGGTCCCCATCACCCTTCCCACCACCCAACAGCTCTCAGCATCCAACCCCAAATCCTGACACCCTCCCAGCAACCAGGGGGGTTGGCTGGAGGGGGGGGTGAAGAAACACTCCTCAAAAACCATTATTAAAAAGCAAAGCGTGTGGCCACAGCCGCTGGTTTAACTTAGAAACACTTCAAGTGGCCCAGAGTCTTCCAAAAAACCCGAGAGCTGCTGGCCCTCGTCCCCCCCACCCTCTCCCACCCCCTTGTAGAATTCCATAAAAGAAAAGTTCCATGTTCCACAAAGTTTCCCTTTGTGTGGTGGTGATAGTCTTGTTTGTGGGTCACTGATGGGTTGTTTCCCCCTTTCTTGATTCCTCTTTTCCTCCTGGCTCTCTGCACACCCAGCACTTCCCATGAAGCCCAGCACGTGCTGAGGGACACACAGAGAGGTGATGTCCCTTCTCCTGCTGGGACAGTCTGGGGATGGAGCAGGAATGGCCATCAGCTCCTCCACGGGGCCCATCACCCCTTGCCCCTGTCCTTGCCACGGCTCCCAGGCGCAGGGAGGGGCAGGGAGCACACGGGGGACAACAACGGGCAGGAGGCTGAAGAGCCAGAGGCAGCTGCTGGGTGAATTCCAGGTGAGGAGTCAAGGAGCCTCCAGGCGAGGACAAACGCAGGAATAAAAACAGCTGGGGACAAGAGAGAAGGGGCAGCAGTCCAGAATCCATTGTTTGCCGTCCCATGCCGTGCCGGCGGGGCTCCTGCAGCGGGCACGGCTCGGCCCCGGCGCTCCGCAGTCCCCGCCCCGCCCCGCAGGAGCCGCGGGGTGTGGATGGATGGAGGGAGGGAGGCGCTGCCGGCTCCCAGCGCGGCGGGCACCGCTCACATCATGACGTGCCGCCGGCGGTGCAGGGCCAGGTGGTCGGAGCGGGAGAAGCTGCGGTCGCAGTCCGAGCAGCGGAAGGGTTTGATGCCCGTGTGCTTGCGGAAGTGCCGGGTGAGCTCGTCCGAGCGGGCGAATTTCCAGGTGCAGCCTTCCCACGTGCATTTGTAGGGCTTCTCGCCTGCACGGGGGAGCACCGAGGGGTCAGCGCTGCCACAACAACGGGCCCCCAGAGCCCTCACAGAAATTCCCAACGGGGAAGCCCTCAGCACCCCCACCCAGCACTCCCAAAGGGCCACAGCACCATCCCATGGGGAATCCAGGGACACCAATCCCAGCTCTCTCTACCTGTGTGTATCCTCCGGTGGGCTTTGAGGTGGGAGCTTTTGGTGTAGACCTTATTGCAGCCCTCGAAGTCGCACTGGTGGATGCGCCGCTTCTTCAGGTCCGGGGAATCGGCCCTGGGCCCCCGCGCCGCCGGCCTGCCGGGAGCAGGGAGAGCTGGAGCCACGGCCCCACGGCCCACGGGGGGCTCAGGGGGGCTCAGGGCCATCAAGGGTGGGGAGGCACAGGCAGGAGGACACTCACTCTCTCGGTAGGTCCTGGAAAGGCGCTGGGCCACTCTCGGAGGCGCTGTCCTCGCTGTCGCTGTTCATGTCCATGGGGTACACGGAGCCAGGGTCCATTTTCACTGGAGGGGTCCGGGAAAGAAAAGCTTTAGGGCACAAAGAGGCAAGGGGTGAGGACAGAACAGAGACGTCCCCAAAGCACCCAGCCCACATCAGGGTGCAGCCTTCCCCCTGCTCCTGCAGTGCTCCTGGCACAGCCTGTCCCTACAGAGAATCAAATCCAACTGGGTAGATGGAGAACCGCCAAAGGGAGGAAACAACTTGGGGGCACCACTTTTGGCTGCCTGCTCCTGCCCAGAGCAGGGCAGATCCAGGTCCCCCACCCTGGTCAAGGTGGGAAGCTGGGAATGTCCTGGGAAAGGGGATTGTGGGGGGCACAGAGAGCAGCTGAGCTGAAACCAGAGCTGCTGGCAGCAGGCAGCCAGTGGGAAGGGCAGGGCAGGCTGCCAGCGGCAGGATGGGTGGAGAACAGGCAGTGCCATGCCCTGTGCGTCCCTGCCCTCCCCATGTCCCCTGGGGGGCACAGGCTGGGGGCTGAGAGGCTTTGTATGAGAGTGGCACACGGCAGTGGCAGGGACACTCCACAGTGAAAAATGAGATTCCCCTCGAGGCTGCCCCTCCACGAGGCAGGACAGACACCCTCCACCCCCCAGATTCCAGCATTCTCCCCAGGTGCCCTTACCAGACCCAGCGTTCTTGCCGTCCCCCCCGATGAGGGGCACGGTAATGGCGGTGACGCCGTCCGTGGGCACGGTGGTGTAGACGACGGGGAGGGACTGCACCACCACGGGGATGGTCTGCAGGTTTCCCATCTTGCTGGGCAGGTTGACAGAGGGGATGGTGTGGATGACGTGGAGGATCTGCTGCCCGCCGCTGCCCTGCGTGGAGGCCAGGATGGAGCCGGGTGAGAGGACAGCCGGGATGGCCGAGGTGGAGCTGAGACCGGAGGGCGGGATGGACACGGTGCTGGGAGCGGGAAGCGGGGGAGCCACCAGCATGGGGGAAGACTGGACCGAGGTGGAGGGCGGTGGCGGCGGGGCCGAGGCCGGAGCCACCTTGGATTTATTGAGGGAGAGATCGACGGGCTCGGCCTGGGGCTGGCTGCAGTCGCTGGCCAGCAGCTCCTCGGGGGGCTCCGTCTTGATGTCGGCCAGCAGCACCGGGGGGTCGAGGGGGCCCTCAGCCAGCAGCGCCGACGAGCTCATGGCGGGCGTCGCCTTCCCCTGGCCCTGCAAGAGACCCGCAGCCCGTGAGGAGCCGGGGAAACTGAGGCACGGGGCGGGGGCGAAGGGTTTTTTTTAACGGGCTCTCACCAACCAACCGACCGGGGCGGCGCCTCGGGGCGGCTCCGGCGGGGCGTGGGGCCACCCGGGGGTCGCCGGGCATGGCGGGGCCGGGCCCGCCCGTCCCTCACGGACCCGCCCGGCCCCTCACGGCGGCGGCCGCGCGCGCCGAGGGCGGGAACCGCAGGCCCCGCCCCCCCGCCCGCGCCTTTGTGCCGGGCCGGCCCCGCCCCCCGCGGGCGGGGCGTGGCGGGGGCGTGGCCCGCGCGCGGGGCGGTGGCGGCCCCGCCCCGCTCCTTCCCCCCGCGCCTTAAAGGGACCGCGCCCCCCCGGCCCGCGCGCCCCCGCCCGGGGTCACTCACGCACTGACCCGCGGGGCTCCCACGCGTGTCCGCCGCGCCCGCAGCTCCCCCCCGCCGCCCGCAGCACCATCTCCCGGGCCGCGCCGGCCGAGGTGCGAACGGCCCCGCGGCTCCACCTGGGCTCCGCCGCGGGTGGAGCTTCTTAAAGGGCCCGGCCCGGCCCCCGCGGGAGGCACCGGGCACGGCCCCACCCGCGGCACGGCCGGCGCTGCGCCCCCGCGGGACCGCGACACGACCGAGGAACGAGCGGGACCCCCGGCCCCACCGCACCCCGCGCTGGGTCCCGGGGCACGCGTGGGGACAAGCGGTACGGGGGAACCCCCGGCCGAACGAGCTCCTCGTCACCCCCCGCGCTGCCCCGGCACCCCCCGGCGCTGCCCCGGGCCCCCCGCACGTACCTGCCCACGCAGGGACCGTCCCCGCCCGCGGAGCCCCCACGCACCGGCCTCGCGCGGCGGCCCCGCCCCGCCACACCCAGCGCCGCGCCCCGCGCACACGGCCCGGCCCCGCCCGGGGGGGGCGGCGGCTACAGCGCACCCCCGGCACCGGCACCGAGCCCGAGCACCGGCACCGAACACTCCCGATACCGGCACCGAGCCCCGGCACCGAACACTCCCGATACCGGCACCGAGCCCGAGCACCGAACACTCCCGATACCGGCACCGAGCCCGAGCACCGGCGCCGAACACTCCCGATACCGGCACCGAGCCCGAGCACCGAACACTCTCGATACCGGCACCGAGCCCGAGCACCGGCGCCGAACCCCACCGGCACCGCTACAGGGTCCTCAGCGCCGGCACCGAGTCCAAGGCACGGGCACGGAGCCCCCGCTCACACACGGAACCCCGAATTCACCGTGCCCATAGAACCGGGTTCCCCCAAAGCGCCTCCACGCTCAGGGCAGGGATCCCCCGCGAACCTCCGCACCCAGCCAGGGACCCCCCCAACAGACGCGCAGAGCCACGGAACCCCCAAACAGAGCCCCCCACGAATCACCCCCAGGTACAACCGAGAGCCCCCAAACACACCCCAAAAAGAGCCAGAGAGACCCCCCCGTCCCCAGAACCCGCCTCGTCACCTGGGGACCCCCAACACACAGAGCCCCCCCCCAAACAGCCCCAAACAACCCCAAACAGAGACAGAGACCCCCCCCAGTACCCACATATTGGCGGGACCCCCCAACACACTCAGCCAGGGACCCCCACCAAACACCCCCATAAGCAGCCAAGGACCCCCAAAGCATCCTCCTCACACGCTCACAAACTACCAGCGCCCCCAAAAACCTCCACTCTCAGGTAGGGACCCCCATAGACCCCCCCTCAAACCCAGGGACCCCCAAAACACCCCCCAACAAGGAGAGACACCCGTCAAACGCCCCATGCTCAGTCAGGGACCCCCTCCAAATCCCCAGGTCCCCAAAGCACCCTCTCCAGCCAGACCCCCCCAAAAACACACCAGGGGACACCCCCAGACAAACACACAACTGCCCCCCGCACCTGGGGACCTCAGTGTCCCCCCAGAGCCCCCCAGGACCAGCCACTCACACCAGGAGGGTCCCTACAAACAGGTTCATTGAGGGGGACTGCAAAAGGGACCCTGTCCTCCCCTGGGGGACCCTCCCTTACCCAAATTTGGGAGTCCCTTGTACCCCAAAGCACCGCGGGGGTAGGGGGTGCAGGATGGGGCAGCTGAGTGGGCAGGGGGGGACTCATTGCACCCCAAATTCCTGCACTGCTGACCCTCCCCCCCTTTATGGGTGAACTGAATTCCTCCGTCCTCAGCCCGGTGCACCCCAAAGCCAGCCAGGGGTGCGGGGTGGGGGCTCGGGCCCCCCCCCACTCAAACCCACATATCGGGGGGCGCTGTGCACCCCTCCCAACGCTTTATGTCCCTCATACCCCGGCAATAATTAGTGCCCCCCGTTTTTATGCCTAAACAGCTTAAGGAGGCATTTCGGGTGACCTTGGGCGGGGGGGTGTGCGTGGGAAAACGCCTTCCACGGGCCCCCCCCCCACCGCTTTGTCCCCTCCGTGTCCCCACCCCCTCTCCCCGCTGCGTGTCCCCCACCCGTGGGCGTGGGGGGGTCACACCCCGCCGCCGCCGCCACACCCCCCCGTGGAATTTCCTCCGCGCTCCACCCTCCGCCGGCGGCCGCTGGGGACACGGCGGGGGCGGGGGGGGCACGGAGGGAACCCAGAGCGGGGACCCCCGTGTGGGGGGGGGAGGGCGAGGGGCACGGGGGGCTGGAGCCCAAGCGGGGCCTGTCCCTTTAAGAGCAAAGGGCGTGGGAGGGGAGGGCAGGGCGGGGCCGCTGTGACCTCCCGGCCGCGGGGGGGCGCCCTGCCCGGAAGCGCGCGCGGCGCACGGGGGGGGGGGGGAGGGACACCCCACGCGCGACCCCCTCGTGAGGGGCGAGGGGGGAGGGGAGGCCTGAGGGGGCGCGGGGGGCGGGGCCCTCCCCCTCCATCCCTCCCTCCCTCCCTCCCTCCCTCCCGTCCCCTCCCTCCCCGCTCCCCCCGCCCGACCCCGCGCTCCCATTCCCCCCCCCCCGGCCCCCTCAGGCCCCACGCGCGCCCCCCCGCGCCCCCGGCCCCACGCACCGTCCCCCGCGCCTCCTCCGAGCGCATCCCCGGCCGCCGCCGCCGCCGCTGCCCCCGGGGCGGTGCCGGGTGGGGCGGGGTGGGGCCCCCACGGGCGGGGAGGGGCCGCGTGGGGCGGAGCTCCCCTCCCCCACCCTCTTTTTTTTGGGGTGGGGGTGCCCCGCCCTTGAGATTACATCATCGGCAGCCAATGGGCGGCTCCCCTCGCATCCGGCGTTGCCATGGGAACGCGCAGGATTTGGGGGAGGGGGGGTGGACCCCAACTTGTTCCCACCCCCCCACACGGAGTGCACCCCAAAACCCGGGGGGGGGCGGTGCTGGAGGGCTCAGCCCGGGGGAGCTCGTGGCACTGATGAGGGGGAGCAGGGACCCCCCCCCATTGGGGGTTTTGGGTTCTCCTGCACCTCCACCCACAGGCGCTGGAGCACCCCCAAACCCGAACACCCAGGGGTGCCCTGGGGGCGCTGCCTGCACTGCCCCTGTCCCACCCAGGTGAACCCCCAGGTATGTGGGGCACCCCCTCAGCACCCCGGGGGGGTCTCCCAGGGTGGCAGGGTCCTGCCAGAGCTGGGGGAGCCCCTCCCGGGGCTGCAGCCGCGGAGGGGTCTGGGGGTCCCCTGGCCCCTTCCTGGGGGCCCTGGGGTGGAAGTGCCAGTGGGAATCCACCCCCACGCTCCCTGAACCCCACTGGTTTGTTTTCCAGCCCTCATCCCAAGGGACCTGGCTGCTCTCAGCGCTGTGTCCCCAGCCTCGGGGTGTCCCCAGCCTCGGGGTGTCCCCAGCCTGCTCTGCATTTGCCAGGCTGGGTTAATCACCCCATGTCCCCCCAAATGCAGGACCCCCACCCCCAGCCCTGACCCAGATCATCCCCAGGGATGGGAAATCCTGCAGATGGGGACTCAGCCAGGTGTCCCCTGCTCACCATGTCCCTGCCAGGGGTGACTCCAGGAGCAGGTCATGGCCACCAAGGCGGTGACCTTGGTGCACACAGAGCTCATCCAGGGGTGAGGAGGGACCCCCGTGACCCCCACTTCTGCCAAGCCACCACACCATACACAAACAGCACCAAACCGACTTTGTTTTGGCAAAAACGCCTCCCCCTCCTCAGGAAACACCAGGGAGGCCCCAGGACAGGCTCAGGCAGGGACCCTCCCTCAGCCAACCTCCCCTGGGGAGCTTTTGGGGACCCTGCACCCAAAGCACCCCCACCCCAATGTCACTGAGCTGAAGGACCAGCAGCAGGCAGAGGTGACCTCCCAAAAAACACAGAAGAAAGGGGGGAGCAGTGCAGGGGTTCCACCCAAGGCCCCCTCTCCTGCTCCCCAGGGATGCTTTGGGCAGGAGGGGCAGGGAATGGTGCAGAGGCTCCTCACGAGGTGCCCACAAGGCCCAGCTCAGCAGTGACAGTCCAGGGTGACTTTGGAGACTCCGTGACCCCCTGGATGGGTTGGAGGAGCTGGTTCCAGCTGGAGAGCAGCGTGTGGCCACCACAGCCCCATGTCCTCCCCCCCAGCACCTCCTGGGGACAATTCTGTGCCACTAAGGAGGAAAAACAAGTGGAAGCATCCCCAGGAAGACCCTCAGGAATTGTTGACCCTACACAGCTCATCCTGGGGGAAACAGCCTGGGCAGACCCCACTGGAGCCATCCATGCTCCAAAGGCAAGAAAGAAATGGTCAAAAAATCTGGGAGTAGCTCCAAGGCAGCCCCAGGGAGCAGAACCTGTCCCAGGGAACTCACCCCGGGCCCCACAGCAGCTCCCAGGGAAAGGAACTGGGCCAAGGGGGGATTTATTCAGGATCTCAGTGACATTGGCATCAAGTTTCTCCTCATTACAAGGTCAAGTGCTGAAGGAAAAGGCTGGATCACAGCCACCTCATCCAGGTTTGGGATGTTTATGTGAGAAACATCTGGAGCAGGCATCAATATTTTTTTCAGAGGGCAGGAGCTGCCAGAGAAAGTGGGACGAGGGTGACGAGCCTGATCTCCCAAATCTCCCTGCTCAGAATGGAAGGGGCCAGAGCAGCAACCAACCCCAGGCTCCCAAAAAGGCTGGGATCTGCTTTGGGAAGGGACAAAGGACACACCTCGGTGCCATGGGAGCAGGCAGGGCAGGTGCTGTGACACAGCCACCTGTGTTTGTCACAGGCTGTCACTCGATGAGCACAGTGGCACCTTGGCCACAGCAAAAGGACCACGCTGATTCCAACAGAACCCCCATATCTGTGCACTTCAGGAAAAGGGATTTGGAATGGGAGAACAGCAGAACTTCACTCCAACCCCACTGGGGCACTGTCCCAGGAGCTCCAGCCCGGCCAGGATTTGACTCCTGACAGCTCTGGCCATTTGTCCCTGTGTCACCTGCCCCCCACTCCACATCCCCTTTGGCATCATCCCACTTCCATGTGCTGCTGGGGTTTATTCCCTAAGGAAACCCAGCGGCACCTCCTGTCACCATGGCAATGAGCAGCATTCCCACCGCTCCCAGCAGGTGCCCAAAGCTCCTGAAGCCCTTCCCAGTGGGATGGGATATCCCAGAGGTCCAACCCAGCATCATCCTCTTGCTGCGGGCCAGGGTAAGGAGTGTGGGAAGCTGTGACATTCCCAGCAGGGGCTGATCCCAGGCACGGGGCAGCTCCAAGGGGGAACAGCGGCTGTGTCAGGGCTGTTCCACGATTCCCACTCCAGGTATTCCACACCTGCACCCCGGCAAACACAACCTCAGCCACTGCCCGGCCATTCCCAGCTCTGCAGGGGCTCCCTTGGAGCAGCTCCTCCCCACGGGGACGATTCCCATGGAACTCCCCCAGCCCGAGGCACGGCAGCTGC